AAAAGGACTCAGATCTTCTATAATGATTTTTAGCAAAATTTAATAGTGATGGTTTCCATTTCAATCTCAGCAATTCATATTTGATGACCTTTTGCACATTTAGTTTTGACAGTTCTTTCAATTTGTTTTAATATTTTATATGTTTTATTCCTAGACTTTAATGTGTGAGCTGGAAGACAGGGAAAAGCAACAACTACAGATGCTGGATAAACTCAAAGAGATTCAGAATCACTTTGACACGTGTGAGTCGGACCGTAAGCACGCAGACCTCCAGATCTCAGAGCTCACTCGCCATGCCGAGGACGCCACCAAGCAGGCTGAGCAGTACCTCAGTGAGCTGCAGCAGTCGGAAGCTCTGAGAGAGGAGGCAGAGAAGAGGCGGGGAGACCTGAAGATGAAAGCTCAGGAGGCTGTTAGGCATTGGAAGCTCAAGTACAAGAAACTGGAGCAAGCACTGGAGAAGCAGTCCGAAAGTCTGAGTCAGCTGACAGAAAAGAATAATCAGGTACAGAAGCCAGATTTCTAAGCAGCGGCTTTGCTGCACCAGCTGCTCACTTACCCACGCTCGCAACAAGCCCTTGCGTGCAGTGCGGTGGGTGCATAAGGTCTTCTCAGGGTGTCCTTGAGAGAGGAGCCTTTTGTAGTTGGCTATTTCAAGGTAGAAAGTTACTTAGATTTTTTATTTTTAAAACTCATTTTAATAGTTTTAATATTCCAGGAGTTTATAAAAGTTGGCTCTTAAAGTAAGTCTTCCCACAGCCTGAGTTTAGCTTTGCGTTCTTTAGTAGAATTATTTTTCAATATTCTGAAATATTCAAGTGGAAGAAAATCACTAAGTCTCCTAGCATCATATGACTTTTCCTGCAGTGTATTTATTTTAAAATTCATTTATTTGGGTATTTCAGTTTAAGAAATTGGTTGGAAAGGACTTGTTTATTTATTTTTTATGTATTTGGTACAGGGTCTCACTGTGCAGCTCGGAGTCATAGTGATCCTCCTGTTTTCAGCCTCCCCGGCGCTGGGATTACAGGCGTGTATGCTCTGTCTCAGTGGTTGGCTCAGTGCACGGGGGTAGGGGGTGAGAGGGTAGGGGGGCTGGTGTGGCATGTGGTGCCAGAGTTTGAATCCTGCTTAGGTCACTGAGCTATCACGTCCCTACAAAGGAACATTTTAAAAAATGCAGTAGAAGCTGGGTGTGGTGGCACACACCTGTAATCCCAATACTCAGGAAGCTGAGGCAGGAGGATTGCCATGAGTTTGAGGCCATCCTGGGCTACAAAAGTTAGTTCAAGGCCAGTCTGAAGTACATTGTGAGATTCTGTTTAAAAAAAAAAAAAGCAGTTAAAAAAAAAAGAAAAAAAGAAAAAAGCAGTAGTTACTATTGGGCTACTTCTCTGGCTGTAACTATATAATAGGCTTAATTAGATGAGTAACATGGACAGTCTCACTGACAGTCGTGTTACCAGATCACAAGTCTCTTCAAAAAGATTCTGCTCTTGTGCCCTTTCAGTAGCAGCAGAAAAGCTTTTCCTTTTCTACATATGCGTGTCTCATTGTCTTTTCTCTTGTCTATGTGTTACTTTAAATGGATTTGCTGTTCTGATGTTGATTCTCTGCTATGCTTTTGGGCAGAATTAAGCCCAGATGTTGATAAGATAAGAAGCAGGAAAGTAGTGATTTTGTCCATGTTTAGTTTTGGTTTACTATTTGTGCTTTGTCATTTGTCACTTGTCAAGAATTCTTGAATTTGAGAAGAACAATCATTTGGATAAGTTGACTTTCTAAAGAAAACAAAATGTGGGACATTATATTTTACCAATGTAAGGTATTTGTGGTACATTTAGAAAATCACCTGACAGCACTTACTGGTAACTGATGCTTTTTCAGATGAGGAGTCTCAAAGAAGATGCTTTCTCTTTCACATCCGAAGTTTTCAGACATCCTGAACATGAAGCAAGTGATCATTCTGTCCTAAGCTGTGGGGAGCTCTCCATTTGAGCTCATCGATGCCTCTGGCATGGGTGGCTGCCCTGGCCTGACATGGCTCTAAAGCTCTCAGACTTGAATCGTTTTTCTTAGAAAAGTTCTACCTTGATTATTCCCGTAAGCCTGATCTGGCAGCTAGTTTAGCAAGGGTCATCATAAGGGAAGTAACGAGCAAGAAGAGCGGTCGATGACAGTGATTGAGAATCCTCTGGAAATTTTACTTAATTAGAGGAAATTCGAAGGGCCTGTGTCACCACTCAGTATCCCCGATCATGCAACATGTCTCTGGGTTTTCTAGAGTTTTCAGAATATTAAAAAGTATTAAACAATCATTTCCTAGAATACTCCTGATATAATTATTTTTATCATTTAATGTTGCTAATGATAAGCAAAGAAGTAGTTTTAAAGTGATTGCCACAGGATAGTATCACAATTATCACAGCAGGCATTGTAATTTCTCCTTTAAAAGCCTTAAAAATTAATGCAGCATGTTGCAGTTAGAGCAATGGTTAATCAAGGAAGAAGGGGCAAGATTTATTTTACTAAAGATGGAGGTGTCTGGTACATGTATGATGTGGACCTATTTGCCAACTTTTGAAGAAATATCTTACGTGTAAGGAATATTTGATTTTTTTTTTGTACTAGGGATTGAACTCAGGACCTTTAAGGCAAAAATAATATATTCTGTGCCCTTCATTTTTTTGGCTAATTTAAAAAAGTAGCTCCAGAGTATATGTGGAAATATATATAGTGTTGAAATAAAAATAAATATTCGTCTCTAAAGACAACATCCTGTGGTTCCAAGAATAAATTATTTAGAAATAGCCTTGCTGACCTGTTTTATCTAGTGAGATGAGATATCTTCGTATTTGCAAAATGGTTCTGTGTCTATATTCATTTCTGTTTCTAACATAATTTATTTCTTCTTTAAGGTTTGCCACTTAAAAATCATATATATTAATTGCTTTTATTCTCTTAAGGTTACACTGACTTTTTTCTATTCTTACTATATGCAGTACATTTCTGGAGTCTTGGTAAGGTGTTGCAAAACTACTTCATTCCTGACAATGTGTAGTATCAAATGAAAAGTTATCACTACAGGAAAAAACAGGCCAGTGTTTACTTTTTCCTTAAAAGACAGTAACGTATTAATTTTATAGGGAATCATGAGATACTTTAGGGATATGTAGGTGATCACATACTGAGAGACTAAAAGTATAAAGATACAAGTAATCTAGTTATCAGTTATGATTTTTTTCTTTTAAAGTGTTGTATGAAATCACTGGTTTTTATGTATGGTTTGAAGATGCCAAAGGAAAAAAGCTGAACTTTGACTCTTAGTATGAATATGTCTGAGTTCTTCCATATTCTTATTTTTATAAATGGGTAGCTTTCTTTAGGTCTTCTTCTGCTGAATTGCTAGAGTGACTGACTTGTCCATATATTGAGCTTTGTGTTTAATAGTATTTGACTTTATTTTTTATATTTTTTATTTTAGGGAAGGGTCTATAGGGTGTTCAGGGTCTCACTACACAGATTGGACTCTTATGACCCACCTGTTTACAGCCTCCCAAGAGCTGGTATTACAGGTGCGCACCACCATGCCCAGTCTCAACTGCTGTCTCAGTGCGCCCCCAGGGGTGTAGCTGGCATCGCAGGTCCAGGCATCAAACCCCTGGTCCCTGTGCCTGTTTGCAAGTGCTTTAATCCTCTGAGCTATTTGGCCAGCCCTGTGTTTTACTTTAAGAACCTTAGATTGCAGTCTTTTCCTTCTGTGTCTTTTCCTCCTTCTGAGAAAGAAACAGCTATATGTAACATATGCTGTCTGTTATGGTTTGTGTCTAGGTGTCCCTCCAAAGCCTCATAGGGGCAGCTTCTGGAGTTTGTGATTGATTACTGTGGGTGTGGATGCTGCCCCTGCCCTGGGGCAGGAAATCTGCATTACAGTGTAAGGTGGGAAGAGAAGCCAGCTGCTTGAGCTGCTGCTACCCCTCCCTTACGCTCCTGCTCTTTGCTGCCACCATGAAAGGTTGCCCTCCTCTCCTTGTGTGGCTCTGCCTTGGAGTCAGCTGAGTATGAACTGAAACCTCCAGTAACTGTGAGCTAAATAAACCTTTTCTTTCTTCATTTAGAGTGTCGGGTATTTGTCCCAGCAATGAGAGAAAAGTAACCGAGACACTGTCTTATAGAATCTGAATTTAAAGGAAAAGGATCGAAGCTAAGTGCACTACTTTTTAACAGTGTGTATGCTATCCTTTCATAAACAAAACAGTGTTTTCTGTATTTTTACACATGCAGGAACGTAACATTAAAAAAATCCCTGTTTGCCTTTTATTTTATTTTTATTTTTTTGGCAGAACCAGGGATTGAACTCAGGTCCTTGCGCTTGCCAGGGAAGCGCTTATTCCACTGAGCCATCTTCCTGCGGCACCCCCACCCCCCCATTTGCCTTTTAGTAAAATAGAAATAGGAGTTCATCAGTTCATATTTTGTGTTCAAGCCTTTGAGGAGTTGTCTCGTTTGTGTAAATGTCATGTTTTTAGTCAGTATCATTCTTCTGTTTACATGACTGCTTTCAGGGTAAATGTCTCTAACTGTGGTGTTGAACCTCTGGCACCTGTACCAAAGCTGGTGTCTTGTGTCATTGAAAGTCTAAAATGTGTGCTGTCCCTGGTGTATCTTCCCACTTGCCCCCTTTTCCTGAAAGTTTCCCAGCTAGAATATTCTTTTCCCAATCTTGTTCCTCAGTGCTAGTTTCTGTCTTCTCCCATTTCATCGCCAACGTTTTTCGAGGATTTTGGCACCTGCCTTCTCATTACCCATTATGTGCAATTCTTGCCGATGTCCTTAGTTCATTTCAGTGTATCTTTATTGTTCACTAATTTTCTTTTCTTTTAAACAACAGTGTACAAATCACTCTTCTTTAGCGACTAGTTCTTTGGTTGAGGTTTTTCTTTATCAGTGATTGTTCTATATTTGGCTGGGGAGATAGTTCAGTGGCATAAGCACCTGCCTGGCAAGCTCAAGGTCCAGAGTTTGATCCCCAGTATTGCATGCCCACCAGGAAACCTGATCCCTGGCTGTGGTGGCACAAGCCTGCAATCTCACTGCTGAGAAGGCTGAGACAGGAGGATCACTACGAGTTCGAGCTGTGCAGCGAGACCCTGAATCAAAAAAAAAATAAAAGCATCTGTAATCTTTCTGTGTTCAAAGCTTTAGTTCTCAATATCTCTGACTTTTTAGAGACTTTTTAAAAATTCCCTTTTCATCTTTTTAAAGCATCAATGCCTCATTTTGATCTTTCCACATTCCTCTGGTTAATCAGCCATTTCCTGTATTTGTTTCGTCCCCACTCATAGTGGATACATTGAAAGCCTACCACCTTTGCTTTCTTCTTTCCACCTCACACTTGAGATACTGATCTCCAATCTGCAGTTATCCCACCCTCCACTTTTCACTCCTCCTGAATATTGTGAGCAAAACTTGCAGAAAAGCTTCAGTGGCTCCTGCAGTAGTTCA